AGACTTGGTGACTAGTGAAAACATCAGAGTTGGATTTCAGTGTGCCAAGTTTGGGTGAACTAGGTTTGCCTCTTCATAATAATGTAAACACAGTGGTGTAGTTACTTAAATTCTGGGTGGATGGGAGCAGGACTGATGACTGTGTCTTGCCCATCATCCTTTGTTTTTTTCAGAACCAAATAGCAGAAGTGTGTATGTGTGTACTGTATCTGCCTTTCCACCACATTTTTATGACACTGTATTCCACTGCCTGCTTTTTTTACCTTCTTCCCCTAGGATTTGTCCTGTAACTTAGCATTTGTGGTTAACAGTGATACTAGGGCTGACTGCACGTAAGAAGTCACAAGAGAAGAGCGGAAGGGCAAGAATTCAAAGCATTTGTTCATACAATGTGGCAACCTCTTTTGCATAGTTGCGTAGGATCCGGTTTGTAATGCTATCATAAATATTCTGTAGTTTTGTTTCCCCACCCCCCAACTGGAGCTATGAAACTTTTTATTGGATTCAGTCTTGTCTTTTGTCTAGAAAGAATTTTATCTTGTTGACGCATGAGCTGTTTAAAAATTATTCTATTAAATGTTGGTTAATAGTTGTGCAGTTTTTCTTTTCAGAAGAAAAGGCAATTCAAATGTTGCCTTTGTTTTCTGTCAGCTTCCAACCCTCAGCACTTCTAGTCAGATACAGATTCATCAGTGTATGCAACATCCTTTGTAATTTAAAATAAAAAAAGATGAAAAGAAAAGGTTTTGGATTGTTTGCCTCATGTTTTCGCCCTTCCTTTCTCTGTTGCTTACCAGGAACCATCCATTCCTCTTCAGGATAATCCACTGCAAAGGAATTCCAAACCAAAGACAGCACGAGTCCTTTTTTGGTGTGGTGTACAAAGAGCTAACAGTGTTTGACACTTTGGGCTCATTTTTGAGTACCTCAGTGAAATGTAGCTATTATGTAGACTTTCAGTTGGTAAAGACATTGGCATTCTTCATAGTTTGGAGCATAGTTCAATTTATTCTTATTTCTCTGCTTTGATTCTTTGGGCAAGCAGTTTCTCTGAGGAAAAATATTCTGAATCTCTCCTGACAAACATTTATATGTGTTTCTGTGTTTAACAATTCTAAGTCTCAGAGCTAGCCTAGGCATACACATAACAGCCTTAAGTCAGGGCACCTGAGTGAATACCACCATAGCAGTGTGTGTTCCTTCAGCCAGCAAACATTTGCTTAGCATGTACTCTGTCAAGACTTGTGCTAGGGACTGGGCTATAATGAGAATAAAGAGACCTCCAGGAACTCACAGTTTGCTGAGAAAATGGCATGTGAACAGGATAGCAGAATGACATGCAAAATGGTCTGGATGCATTATTGCTGAGGTATTTGCAAGGACACAGGTACCACACCCAGTGCGGTATGTTAGAGACTTATCAGCAGGTTTGTTTTCATGACCTCCCATGACCCTTGAAGAAGTTCTTTTTGCTTCAGCTGAGTGACAATGGAGCCATCACGAAGCAAGGTGGACATGGCCTCCCATGAACAGGTTTTGTTACAGGACTTGACATCTCAAGACCACTACTCATAGGAGCGTCTGTCATGATCCTGGGATTTAAGTTGCTGGGTGAGCCAGGTCAGTGTATAGTCCTTAGAAAACAGAACCTTCTGTGGGTAGCACTCAGTATATGGGTCGTCCAGTGTCCTTCCTCACCAACAGTAATTTCAAAGCCAAGAGGGCTGTTTAGCCAGAAAGGCAGTTAGGTAGTACTTAAATATCCCAGCTGAAAGGTTCCAATAGGAAGAAAGTGCTAAAAAGTCTAGAAGGCTAGGGTGGCATTCATTAAGCCCTGCTGGGTGCCTTCCTGTCAGGAAATGCAGCTAGTTCTCTCAATGGCACAGGGGCGGGGTCAGCAAAAGAGACAAGATGAAGATAAGAGGGCTCACCCCAGACCCAGTTTACATGATAGAGAGCTCCCAATTCAAAGTCCAGTCTTGCTGCACTAGAGACAATTCATACTCAGTTCTAAGGGACTAGGTTGAGTCACAGGCAATATCTGGATGACGTCTGTGTAGCAGGGAGATAATGGGCTTAAAATCTGAAAATTAGAACTAAAGCCCAGACCTAACAGATGCAGTAACTAAAAGCTAGTTACAAGATCAGTGGGTAAGGGTGACAAGAGCAAAACAATGCTGGCAGTAGTCACTGTGGGTGTGGGTCACCAGTCTATACCTCAAAGATGGCCGCTAGTTTAAGGGCTTAGAACTAGGTCTCTGTTAGAAAGGGAGCATGTTGGAGGGTGGAGAAAAAGGAGGCTGTATTTTCTTCTTTAATTGCTGCATAGAGAGCGATTGTGAACTGCTGATTGCATAGGAATTAACAGCAAGAACCCTGATGTGAAATGGGTCCAAGGTGATGCTGGCACATCTGCTGCTTTCAGACTTAGAGCTTCTTCACTGTCCTAAATAGGGGATCTTCTATTTGAGGATCCAAAATGTTTGACCTGAAAAACTGCAAACTCTGTTTCTTTAAAAGGTTTTAATTTTAAAACATCACCAGTAATTAACAGAAAATGTACAAGATCTAGATAAAGAAGACTTTAAAATACTGTGTAGGACACAGAAGAAAATGAACAAATGGATAGGCCAAGTTCTTGGACATGACCAGTCAGCAACATAAAGCTGTCCTAAGCTCAATAAAAAATTTAATGCCATCCCAATAAAATATGTCAATGGAGTTAACAGAGACAAAAACCAAAAAACTAAAGTTCACATGGTGGAAAATAATAGCTGGAAGATGGGGCAGGTGAACGGAAAGAAGAGAGATGTTTAAGCCTAACAGTACAGCACATAAAACGGTAATTAAACAGTGTTGCTTCGGTCCATGCATGAACAGACAGGCCAACAGAACAGAATGGGAAAGCGTACCAGAGAATTTAGTGTGCTAAATGTGGCAACCAGAATCAGTGAGAAACGATGGATTCTTCAGAAAACTGTTGAAACAACTGAGTAACTCTCTGGAGAAAGTTAAGTTGGCTCTATCACACACCATAAGCCAACATCTATTTCAAAATGGATAAAGATCCAACAGTAAAAACAAAAACACCAGGAGGAAATGTATACAATTCCTTGAAGTATCTGGGGCTGGAGGCCAGAGGAGTTTCTGACTTGGATCCCAAATCCAGGAGTCATAAATGAAGATGAAGTCTATGTGAAACAAAAGTAGAACCAAAAATTTAAAGTAATACTTTAAGGCCCAAAAGCATCATAGTCAAAATTCTATATGAAAAACTCATCTTTCTAATATATAAAGAACTTCAGGAAATTGATATGAAAAAGACCAACAACCCAATAGAGAAATGAGCAAAGTAAACACACATAGCTCTCAACCTCATTCATGATGAGAAATGCATATTAAAAGATGACATTTTCACTTAATCACACTGGCAAAAATCCCAGTGCCTGTTAACACACCATGTTGGTGAGGCCATGGGAAAGCAAGCATTTGTACCACATTGCTGGTGAGAGTGTAAATTGATGTAACATCTACAATTGGGTAGGATGTATCAGAATATTTAAATGCACAAATCCTTTGACCAAGCAATTCCATTTGAATTTAGGCAAGTCATTATTCTGTATCTGTTTATTCATATGTAAAATGTGGATAATCTTATCTCTTAGGATTGTTGTGAGAGTAAAGTTAGATGATGCACATTAAGCACTTAGTACTGTGTGCTTGGCATATAGGAGGTGCTCTAAAAATGTCAGCAATGTAATAGCAGCTAATTCTCATCGAGTTCTTAGCATGTACCACAGTACTACACTGTGCTTGGTGCTTTTTGTGTATTACCTCATTTAATCCTACCACAGGATAGGTAGCCTCTGAGGGAACTGGGGCAGATAGACATGAAGGGGGGCTGTTGAGCAGGACTCAAGCAGGGCAGACTCCCATGACTGCAGTACACTGCCTCTCTGTTAGGGGCAAGGAGGCGATGACTACTTTAAGAGGTGTTTATATAGTGCTAGAGGAACACGGATGAGTGATCACATAGCCCTGCTTGTACAACACTAACAAAGGAGCCACATTTGGTTTTTGAGGGAAGATGTGTCTTGCAGTTAAGGCTCTGCCGCTTTCAAGTTGGCTAACCTTGGGGCAGGGATGTTTGGTTTTCTCGATCTACTTTTAGTCCACCTCTCCATCTGTAAAATGGTGGATTACCTATCTCAAGGGTGGTTGGTGAGGATCAGAAGTACACAGCTAAGTACTCAGGTCCTCACCATTTATGCTTGCTGGACTGAACAAGAGCAGATGGGATGGGGGCCAGAGGAGAAAAGCATCTACCAAGAGGGAACAGCACATTCCAAGACTACAGATCCAAAAAGAGCTTGAGGAATCCAAGGAGGTGTCTGATAGCCTTGAGGACCAGCTAAGAGACATGGACTATTTAATACTGAAAATAAAATGAAATGCCACCATTTCTTGAGGGGCTGTTCTTAATTATTTCCATCAACACTACTCCAGCGACGTAATTTAATAAATTCAACACAAAAGCGAACCGCTAAGGGCCAGGGAAGGCGGGGGGGAGTAAGCTAGGAGGTGACTTGGTCAGCTGTGCACTTGAGAAGATCCTTCTGTGACCATGTAGTGCACTGACAGGAGGTCCTCTAAGCTACCAGCCATGTATTCCATATATTAAAAAAGTAGTAACATTTTTTTCTTCTACTTCATCATATATATTCACTGTAAAAAAATACGAAAAATACAAGAAAATTAAAAGGAATATTTAAAAATCGTTAATTCCACCTTCCAGAGACATTCCAATCTTTTTTTTCCCTTTCTCTGCGAAAATTATGTTGCCATTAGAGTGGTTGATAGGCAGCAGATGCAGAGACACCAGTGTTAAAACGCTCTTGATAACTCCCTCTTCTCTTCCTCCCAATTCTTTAGGACCCCAAGAACAGGTGAGGCTTATTTCCCGCACGTTTTCAGGGAAAGTGCTCAACTCGCCCCCGCCACCCTCGCTCGCCTCAGGCAGGACTCTAGGGGGCGCTGCCGCCAACCAGACGGGAAAGAAGGAAGGCGATGCTAAAACGCGCTTAAACTTGGGCACCGCCGCTGCCCGTAGCCGACGTCCCCAACATGGCACCTCCTCAAGACGTCCACGTCCGAATCTGTAACCAAGATATTGTCAAATTCGACCTGGAGGTGAAGGCGCTTATCCAGGTACTAAATCCCGGAACCCCTGCCCTAAACCCCAAGGGCCCCAAACCCAAGCTCTGCTGACTCCTGTAAGCTCAGCGGTCTCAGTCTCGAGCTTCCCGACTTGGTCAAGTCTCCGAGGTTGCTCGCCTCGACCCATGACCGGCTACTCCCGTGCTGCCCGCCCCCTTTGGTCCCGTCCCCTTGACCGTTGGCCTTGATCCTCCAGCCAGTTCCCTTTGGCTCACCCTGTCCCGGGACACCCCCGTATACCCAGCCCGATTAGGCTTCCCTTTTTCGGCCCCGCTTGGCTCTTCCCACACCACTCCGCTCGTTGCCCTGCCCCGACCACCTCGCAGCACACCTTTCACCCTGTTTGGCTCCGCCTTCTGACACCGCCTTTGCGATTATTTTGTCGCCTGCCGGCCACTAGCCCCGCCCCCTGTCGACCAACTCCGCTGGGTCTGGTACTTCGGTGGCGCCAAAGGCCACCTAGTAAAGGAGGCAGTTAGTGAAACAAATGTAACCAGGGCAGTAGTTGTGACTTTGTAAATGAGGAAATCGAGTAAGGTTGCCGAGGCCTGATTAGAAGGCAGCGGCAAATCTGGAACCTAGACAGGAAAAGTCAGCCTTGGAAAGGGACTTAACTCTGAACTCCGTTTAAAGGATGAGGTGATTGAAGTGCTTTGCCTTAAGCCAATTCAAGGGTAGAGAAGTCTCTAGTGCAAGAAACCAGTTGGCATAGGCAAGAATAGGAATATGGAAATTGTTCCTTGAGTTTAGCAAAAAGAAACCGAAGAGTTTTAAACCTTGGTTTTAGGCAAGTCGTTTCCATTTACAACAAAGGTTACTAAACATTAGATGTATTGCAACTAGTTGTGACAAAAAGTGAAGGAAAATGGAAACCAACTGCAGAATACACCAAATTAGTGGTTTATCATTTGGTTCAAGGAAGCGTGACTTAATGAGTAAGCCAGAGAACAAATGAGGAAACTTGATGCCAATATTTAGATTTCTTGAACTTTGCTTCTCTTATGTATAAGCTGCAAAACTTCTGGGCCAATTCTAGAAAAATAAGTTTATGATTCATACAGATGAAATTGCCTTTTCTCATCATCTAAATTGCTTGAGCCCCCTATTTGTACTCTCTGATGTTTGGGTTCTCATTACTGCTAAAGAGAAAGATTGATTATACTGGATTGATTGTACTCTTACTGTGTTCCAGCTCCTCTGCTAAGTGCTTTATATATATATATATGGCCTATGAGGTGAGGTAGTGTGATGAGGAAACAGGGCACAGAGAACTCAAGTAACTTTTTCAAGGTTACAAAGCTAAGAAATTGCTACAGCCAGAATATTTGAACCCACATAGACTTGCTCTAGGGCCTGCTTTAAAACCTGTCCCCAGAATTTCTGAATGTCCAAAAACAAATTCTAAATATACTCTTGAACATGCCTGTAAAAACTGTGATTTATAATAGATGGTTTGTAAAATTGGATTGAAGTTAATTTTGTTATAGATGGCAGGAACTTAGCATGCTGATTTTCAAGTTGGAAAGATCTAAAGTTATAGTATTGCTTTTGGATGTCTCTTCTTTTTGGATTATAACCTGTTTTAAGTCTTTATACTGGCCAGGTGGCATTTAAACTTTAGGAACTAATAAGTCAACAAAGAGTTGTGTTTCTTTCTATGCTTTTATATTACCTGCTCAAAATTAATGTAAAGAAGGATGAGAAAAATGTGAATTGTAATGTTTTTGCTTTTGTTGCAGAGGTAAACAGCAAAGATTAGGATGAATCATAATGGTAGGCCAACCTTAGGTGTGGTCAGAGCCAAGTCACTGTACAGATGGTGTCATTCATTTCATTGTCTCAAGAAAGGGCCCCCTCATCTCTTCAATATCTCCTAGGATATTCGAGATTGTTCAGGACCATTAAACGCACTTACTGAACTGAACACTAAAGTGAAAGAGAAGTTTCAACAGTTGCGGCACAGAATACAGGTCAGTAGCTGCAGAACCGAGATGCTGAGAATGGGTAACAATGAAGGGGATTGGGTTCTGGGCCTAACCTGTGCTTCAGAAGTTCTTCAGTAAATGTTTAGACAGTGAAGCTAACTGTACTTACCTGCTCACCGGGTAAAAATGAGGAAACTTTGAATTCAGAGCATGGCCAGCTGTGTTAAGTGGATGGACACCGTTGTCTTTGGATTTTTCAACTTCAAAACAATGAGGTCACTTGATCTACCTTCTCTTTGCTACCATTCTTACCAACCCATTCACCTCAACCAATCACCAGTGTCTTCGGGGGTTTTTTTCCTCTGCTTTCGCTTTTCCCAGCCTCTTCCTTTCTGTATCTGTAGTCTCCAGTCACATCATATGCACATTATAACACTCCTGAATTCAACTATGGTATTTGCTGTCTCAAAAAACAGCAGAGCAAGAAGTACCAGTTTGAATAGCATAGGTTTTTCTGCTGCTGTGCCCTCAGAGGGGAAGATGTGTGGCATGGATCCCTGGGTGGCTCTCAGGGCCCTGGTCTCACTACATGTGGTACGGGGGTGTAAAGCCTTGTGCTTTTCCTATGACATGGCCATACTCTCTGTTGTTGCTTAAGAGAAGAAGAGTCTGTTCCAAAGCTGGTTGAAAAATGGGCCATTTGGACCCTGAAAAATGGTGTCTGTCTGGTGTGTTGCCTTCCTAAGGGATTTCCAAGGGCAATTTTGAAAGGTGCAGTTTTTGTCATAGGAGTTCCCTTTAGAATTTCAGCAGTGTCACTGAACCTAGTTGATCTCTTTCTGCTTCATTCTTTAGCACTGATTTAATCATTTTGATTTTTTTCAAAGGCTGTTGCTTTCATGTTTTCTGTGTATGTGTGTATATGTATAAATACTGGCATGCAGTGACAAGTCTCTCTATGCCCCTTATTTGTTCTCTGTTCTCCTCTCCAACAGGAAACCACCTTTGGTACTGATGTGTCTTCCCATAGTTTCTCTAACCAGATATTTAAAAAAACAAACATATTTTCTTATTTCTTTCCCATTTATCATTTAAATGGAAACATGTTAAAGCACCCCTCTTTTAAACTTAACAGCATGTATTGGAACTCTTCCCATATTATTAGGGAGCTTCCTCATTCTTTTTTGCAGCCATAAGTTTTTTAGTCAGTTCTGTATCAAAGGGCCTTTATGTGGACTGCTTCTATATTTTTTTGCTTTTAACAGCTAAAAGACCTTTATTCCCTAAACGACCTGTCTTCAACTCAGATGACTTCAACTCTCTAACCACACCCATCACCTTAAGTATAAGTATTTCCAAATTCCTTCTGTGTATCTGCATGCTCACCCAGTGTTTATTTCCTCCACTAATTACAACGACCTCACCAGTGTAGTTACGTATTGATTATGTCCTTCTTTGCTATCATCAGCTCCTCAAGCACTGGTATGTCCCCGGCACCTGCTAAGAACCTTGTAAGCACATGAGGGAGTGAATAACCCCACCCCAGTTTTAATCTGCATTTCCTAAACATTCATGTGTGGAAATATATGCAAGATTTCTGTTAGATGCTTTCAGCTCTTATATGAATGACTTTTTTGTGTATTTGCAACAAGCTTGTATGATACTAGAATTGGCCTGATATCCTCAAAATAAGGTGTTCTATACATAGTAATTTTTGGGCATTGATTGCATGTAAATATCTGCTTGAGTGTCTGAGTATGTGGTTCACAAGCTGGAAATTAGAACTACTTTACCCCTTTCTTTTCTTCCTGAACTATCTCTGGTTCTGTGACAGAACTTCCAGGCAACTTTTCATGAGGAAACTATACCCTTCTCCCTTCTTTCATCCCACCATCCTTCTCTCCTTCCCATACATCCATTCTCCCATTCAGTGATTTGCTGCCAAATATGTGCCAGGCACAGTAGATCTATGTAGTTAACACTTGATGTGGCCCTGCTTTCATAGAGTTTACGTTCTGGTAGAGAATCTAGATTTTAAACAGATAATTATGCAAATAATTAACTGATTGCATTTGCAAAACTTTTCCAATTCTCATTCTTTTTTCTCTGCCTCAGCAATATCTGGGGCCATAAACTGGAAGTTACCTCTGAGCTATTGAAATGGTGGGTATGGACACTTGTTCCTGCCCAGCATGTGCAAATTAGTAGGTAAACAAATTAGTATATAAATGAGTGAATACATTGATGTTTTAGCATCAGTAATTTGATTGAAACTGGAACTTGTTTTATCTGTCAACATAAAAACATGACTTGAGATACAATGACATCTTTAATTATAGTCAGTCTGAAAATTCCACCATCTTAAGTTCTTGGGGTCTCAGACTGCTGGTGGTCATGTCTGCCGACCCTTGCTCTGGGGGGCCGTTTGTTTCCCGATGTTTGGCTGTTCTAGGCTGTGAGCAGTCCTCTTCAGCAGGCCTTATCTGTGGGACTTTGGTGCAGCCTGGGATGAAAGCAAGTCTTCTGAGGCTTTTGCATTTGCTTCTGCCAGGTCTCCGGGGATGATCACAAGGATGGGAGCACTTGTTACGTTAATTTCTCCTCAGGATGTTCTCAAACCATTCAGGGAGGATGAATTTGGACCCCAGATCAGTGTGAGGGTAGCAGCGTGGCTATAAATTCTCAGGGGGAACACTTTGTATCCCTGTAGCCAAAGCCCATAGCAAGAAAGGACAAGCTTCCCTGTGGTCTGTTTGTGGTGGTTCACATAGGTTTCTAGTTCACCTTTTCACTGAAGGTATATCCCTTTGCGGGTCCTGGATGTGCTGTGTTCTGGGTTCCAATTCCCAGCCTCACGTGTCACACTTCATTTTTCTGTGCCTTCATGGGCTTTAGAACCCTCAAACTGTTTGCTACCAGTCTATAATGACATAGGTGTGGAAATTGAGAGTGAGCATTTAGAAATGTATAGTAATTTGAGAGTCCCATGGTATCTAAGAATGGGATCAGTGGGCTCCTATTTAGTAATTGTTTTGCCTTTTCATTTAGGGCCTGCCCTAGTTGCAGGAGTGCAGCTCCCACGACAGGGCAGCACACATTACTCACAGGCCGACAGCTCTGGCTCGGGGTCACTTTGGCACTCTGAGGCCCTGGGGTTGATTGTCCTTACTTCCTTTTTTTAATTTTTGTTTTATTTTATTATATTTTTTTGGTATCGTTAATATACACTTACATGAACAACATTGTGGTTACTAGATTCTATTATCAAGTCCCCACCACATACCCCATTACAGTCACTGTCTATCAGCGTACTAAGATGGTATAGAGTTACTACTTATTTGTCTTCTCTGTGCTATACTGCCTTCCCTGTACCCTGCCCCCTCCATTATATGTGCTAATCATAATACCCCTTTTTCCCCCTTATCCCTCCCTTCCCACACATTTT